TTCAAAATGGCCAATATCGGTCCATTTCAGCTCACTAATGCCTAAGGTATCAATGTTGATGCGTTCCATAAACATGATAAGGGAGGGGTCTAAATACATGCAAATCTCCTGAGTCAGTAAAGAAAAAAGAACAAATACAGACAGTCCTTAAGGGTATTGGAGAATGGGTGCACTTAAAACTGATTTTCAACCTCAAAGTTTCCACACTTGTCATTGAAGGACAGTCCAGTAACCATTTCTGAGGGTCTGGACAAAGACTGATAGAGAAGCACACCCACCTAAACACACTCTGACAACACAGGACCTTTCTACAAACCACAGAGGGCTGACCACAGCGGAACACTCGCGAGCTCTATGCAAGCTCCCCGTCCTGGTTCTGGCGTACACACTTCAGGTGCCCTAGATTTCTCATGCTTTCAGAGCTCACACAATTAGTCGGAAATACTTTCTGAGCAATAAGACACACCAACATGAGAGCATCGTGGGAAAGTCATAGCTCGATGAGGGGAAGATGGCGTGGTCCTTGCACAACTTCCTACATTGTGAAAGGAATTTGGAGCCTTGACAATTCAACATGTGCTCTGGTTTCAGTCTGATGTTGTTAAGTGCTGTTGAGCTGGTTCCGGCCCATAGCGACCCTGTATAGTTTCCGAGGAGCAGCTGGTGAGCTTGAACTGCCGACCTTGCAGTTCAAACAGCTGATTGTTGTTGTTAAGTGCCATCAAGTCAGTTCCGCCTCAGAGTGACCCAGCACAGGATTTCCAAGGGTTTCAATCTTCACAGGAGCATAAAGCCTCATCTTTCTCTCGAGGAGTGGCTGGCAGGCTTGAACCTTGGGATTCCCAGTCCAGTGCTTACTATATGGAGTCACCATATATATCAAATGTTGTTAAGTGCCATCGAGTTGGTTCTGACTCATAGCAGCCATGTAGCAGCTGATGGATTTGAACTGTTGACCTTGTGGTCCTCAGTCCAGTGCTGATCCTACAGCGCTATGGTAACATCTACAAAAGGCTCATATACCACATCAGTGGAATTCACCCCAAATATGCAAGATTGGTTTAACATTCAAAACACCAGTCACTGTAAAAACAGTGAGACCAAGTCCTAGACACAGACACACCTTTGACACAAAGTCCATCACACTTTCCCCAAAAAGCCAAAAGTGACAACAGCCCAAATGTCCTTCAACTGATGGACAGAGACAAAAAAGGGCTATTCCTCCAGTGGAACGCTGGCAATGTAAGGGACTGAATTGTGACACCTTTTCCAGCCCGGCCGGACCTTGGAAACATTATGCTAAGTCCAAGAAACTAGTGGCACAAGGCCATCTGGTGTAGGGCTCCAATGACAATGACACGAAGCGTCCAGACAGAGAGATCTGGAGACAGCAAGTAGAGTTGTGGTTGCCCAGGGAGAGGGCTGACTGCTAAGGGACACTGGTTTCTTACTGGACTGGTGAGAAAATGTTTGAGATTGTCCCATAGTTGACCATCTCTGTGAATATCCTAAACCACTGCCTGGTCTGGACACATGAAGTGTAGGCACAGCGCAGCCTGTGAAACCCCATGAAGCTGAAGACATCTGAGCTGCATCTTGTCAAGTTGTGTTCCCAGGCCAGCCTGGCTTTTGCTTTGGTGAGTGACCGCTAGCTGGCCATCGGATTGGGGGCGTTGTAGAGAAATGCAATCATACTTTCTGCTTGGTGAGAGCTTTCTGGACAAAATGGACTGGGATCTGGATCAACACGGGCCACGGGGGCTGCTGACAGTGAACTGCAAACGTCTCCCACCCCACAGGCCCTCCAGGATGCACCCTGCCCTCCACTCCAGACTCGAGCTTACAGGATCCTTCCCCTTCCTGAAGAAGCCTTGGTGGTGCAGTGTATTAAGCACTTAGCTGCTAACCAGCAGGTGGCTTGAACTCACCTGCTGCTCTGAGAAAGATGAGGTAGCCCACTTCTCAGAAGCCCTGCGGGGAAGTTTGCCCTATCAGATCACGGAGTCGGAAACCACTGGGTTTGTGTGTGTATGTGGGGGGGGGCACTGGCGGGTGGTCGGGGATAGCAACGGAAATAGTCTATATGGAGCCCTGGGCTAGCATTGGACTGGGAACCAAAAGATGAACGGACACTTTACCTCAGCAACTGTTCTGATGGTGAGGGGCAGCAACATCTTCGCAGTGGCCTCGCCACTCCCCAGGGTAAGCCCTTCATTTACATGCATTTCCCAGGCCCTGGGGGAGACTAAGGGGAGGCCAGAGCTCAGCAGCATGGCAACGGAGCCACACAGCTGGAGACTGGGGGGCTCATGTCGGCCCGCTCACTCTTGTTGGGGGTGTATGAGGTGTATGATCCCAGCCCCCACCTGTGTTTTGGGGGCATAGAACCTTTGCCATCACTGGACCCAAAGACTGCGAGGCGCCATTCCAACAGCGAGATGTCTCTGCACCTCTGTGGTTGCGGGACTCTACCACCTGCCCCCGTTGGCCCAGGTGCCGTGCCCAGGCCTGTGCGGTGGGCCAGGGTCTCACACACACAGCTTCTTGGATACACGTGGAGATGTGGTGTACTGTGGGGGCAGAGAAAACCTAGTCCTCTAATCTGGGGGCTGAAACCTGACAGGAGCAGGGTCTTGGTCCGTGTGCAAGTTGCTGCCAAAGGGGACAGACAAGGCATTTCAGAAGCGTTCCGTCCCATCTTAGAGACATGGCATGCAGCTGGCATCCATGTACAGCAAACTGGCAAGCACACAGCACAGGGGCCATTTGGGAAATTCTGTATTAAAATGAAGCTTCAACAGAAATGACATCATCAAATCTGAAAATTCCATTTACTGTCAACAATGAACATGTTACCCAGCCAGGGCCGAGGGTCACCTGACAGCATGTCCATGCCCCCCGTGTCCTGGAACCCCTGTGAGAACTTAGAGTCACCCCCAGCAAGTCCATGCCCCTTCCTCTCAGCCCTGAGGTGACCAAGACTTGTCACCTGCAGGAGTGGCCGTCACTCCCCTAGTCGGAGAGCTCTCTGGTATGTCCGGGTCTGTTTACAGCGCTACAGACAGCGGGCCCCAGACTGTGGTCAGCACCGAGGAGTCTGCTGAGAGCACAGAGGACCACAAAGAAACTGCCACCGACACCAGACCACGAGCCAGTGTGGCGGGGTGCCGGGCAGGAGTGTGCCATGGGGAACCCAAGAGGAGCACTAGGGTCTGGGCCTGGCCTCGACTGGCGAGTATGAGAAAACACCAACACAGAGGAAGAAGGCTTTATTCATTTTCCCTTCTCCACTGAAATACAGGTTTTTACCAGAAAAATGATTTCCTGGGGTTCACATTTTAATAAGCTTTTATATATATATATATAACAAAAAAAACAAGCCAACCCATTAATCACACTCAAACCCTTCTGTCGTGACACATACTTCCACTAACGGGTTAAGAACGTCTAACTGAAGACACAAGTGGGAATAAACGGTCCACAGCTGAGTTTTAAGTTCTTCAGCAAGATGTACACAGTTGCTGAGGGCATAGATCCCCTGCCAAGTATTAGTCAGAAGTCAGCTTTTCTGGGTGGTAGAAAAATGGCAGATCAGACACCAGGATTCTAGGGCACACAGAAAACAAAAGCCACACCCTGTGAATTGCTAACAGCGCTTCACTGAAATCTACGGTGGATCAAATCCTGGTAAAGAAAAGTACCCGCCCGGCGCGGCTCCGAGGGACCACACCGAACACAGCAGGATCCTGTGGGAAAAGTGGTGGGTTTCACAGGCTGCCCGCAGGGGTGGACACATGTCTCTTAACGAGTAAGTGGGAGATGACCAGAGCCTTCACAGTAAACACAGAAGCCCCAGGGCACAGCCAGGAGGCTCTCAGGAGGTAATGGCCCATTTCTGTTGCTCCCGAGGCTCAGAGCAGCGTCAATGAAAGACTAAAGGTGGGATTTAAAAGTTCGAGTCTAACTTAGGCAGGCAGCTGCGGCTCCAGCAAGCATCTCACATGATTTAGGCTGAGAAGTGAGCAGCTGGTTCACACCTATGTGTCTGCACCTGACAGCAACTCAAGGCCCGTGACTGGAGCATCGCAGCACTGCGCACAGGGTCCGGAGCTGCGTCAGACTCTGCGCCAATCTTTGTGGTTGTGTTGTTGTTATGTGCCGTCGAGTCGGTTCCGACCCATAGCGACCCTGTACAGGGTTTCCAAGGGTGTAAATCTTTACGGGAGTAGAAAGCCTCATCTTTCCCCCGCGGAGCAGCTGGTAGTTTCGAACCGCTGACCTTAAGGTTCGCAGCCCGATTCGTAACCACTACACTACCAGAGCTCCCTTTTGTGGTTGTAGATGTACTTAATGTGTCAGGGTTACAGCAACAGTGATGAGAGCCTGTGAGGGAGGGTCCTGACAGGCAATTCTGAGGTCACAATCACTTCGAGAGTTCTGGAAAACAAGCAAACTTAAGTAGCACACAACAGAGCACTTTCATGTAACTGTAACGGTCAAATGACCTTTATAAAATAAAGCAGACAAATCAAATTTCACTTGTACCACTATGTACCAGTAGTACCAGCTGTGTTTGCCAAGTCTCTGCAGAGTCACCTAACACCAAGACTCCATGGGGTTGGGGGGACCTTGACTCTCAGAGGCCACAGCCCGGTTTTCCAGTATCATTACACCACAGCAGACACACACACACACAGAGTCACGTGAGCCAACAGCTTTATTGGCACCTTTCTTCACGCTCTTCATACTGCGATTTTCCACGGGTTTGCTCCTGTAACGAACTTGAACTCAGACAGATCACTGATTTCTGCAGAACAATGTGCAGCGAAACCAAATGAGGACCAGTAAGTCTCCCACACAAGGGCTGGACTAGGAAGGTTTTGTTTAGTAGTGAAAAGTTAATTTTTAAAGTATCTGCAGTCTTTTTGGAAATCCAAGGCACCAGTATTGGGCAGACATTCCGGTGGACGGAAAGCGTGGTCTGTGTCCTCCATGGGCGACTAGGACACGTCCTCCAGGTAATCGGCCACGTCACTGAGCTGGGAGACAGTGAGGTCCTGCGTGAGCTCTTCAAGCCTGGACGACTGAGAGAAATGAGGCAGGGTCAGAGCGCAAGGGGAACCGGAGGGGCTGGGCACTCGGGTCCACTTTCATCTCAGACACTGAATTAGCAAGGCTACTAAGGCCCACCCTGGGCCAGAGACAGAAACACCCTGCCACAAACCCCCAACCTCTACACCTTGACGGATCCAGGAAAGCTCACTGAGCGTGGCACTGAGGCCTGAAGCCCCCTCCGCTACAATGCTGTTTGCTCTGGTTCTGTAAGGCGGTGTGGTGGGGAACACCCGCCCAGGGCACCAGCTCCACAGGGTTTTCAAAGGACCTTCTTCCAAGGCCCCTTGGGGTGGACTCGAACCTCTGACCGCCATCTGCACTCCCAGGGACTCATAGCGACCCTGTATAGGGTTTCTGAGGAGCAGCCGGTGGGTTTGAACCACCAACCTTGTGGTTAGTAGTCCACTGCCTACCCGGCAGCCACCCCAGGACTTCCTTTCATGGGTGGCAACAAAATACAGAAGCAAACGCCATGGGTCAGTCCTGACTCACAGCAACCCTAGAGGCTGTCCCAGGAGCTGAGGGGACGTCGGGGGGGGGGGACTCAGCATCCGAGACTTAGCTTCTGTGCACCCCTTCTCCCCCTGTGTGGAGGTTGTCCGAACAGACAGCAGCGGCCAGGTCTCCAGAAGGCGACCAGCAGAGAGCAGAAATGCCACCACCCAGGCTTCTTCAGAGCCCAAGACAGGCCACAACCTTCCCCCAAACCCAGGAGTCAGCTAGCCGAGGGCTACTGAAAAGGCCTCACAGCTCGTCAGTCTGGGAACTAGAGGTCATCTTGGTCCACCTGCTCAAAACACACCTGACACTCTCCACACACAAAAGGCAGCCAGGACCTTGTTTAGAGACCCTGGGAAGCCTTTCTGAAGTACACACGCCCTATGGGTCCCCACTCTCTCCACATAGCAGGACCACCTCCCGAGGGCCGGGCCGTGTGGTGAGCGGCTTTGGGTCCTCCGGCCAGCAGCTCCAGGGGGCACCCGACACAGACCCTCCCCTCCATGCTCACAGGCTGGAGTACACACCGCGTAGAGCCACACGACAAAGTCAGGTTGCAGTGAAAATTCTAGCAAACCTGACGTGGCAAAGCCACGGGTACAGGGCCGTGAGCAGCAGCCCTCAGAGGCCGGCCCTGGGACCCCAACAGGAAGCCTGCGGCTCGGCACACAGGGCTGGGGCACATCCTCTCCACAGGTGTGGCCCACACACCACAGCGCCACACCCCGTGCCCACCAGCCCCCAGGTCTGTGGTGATGCGTGAGGTCCAGCCTGAGGAACTGTCCCTAAACTTGTGGCTCTGCTGCAGTCTGACCAAGCTACGTTCACAGGTTTCTAAGGCGGCGCCATGACGAGAGAGCTATCACCGTAACCCTGAGATCACACTAATGCCGGACACCTCCCCTGGCGTCTCTCCCAGGGAGAAGCTGAGCAGTGCCTGTGGGCACACCGAGCGCGTACTTTGTCGCTGGTGTAGATGTCATCTGCAGACAGCTCTTCCTCGATCTCGTCCCCAACACTCATCTCACTTTTCTCGGAGCGGTGGCTGCTGCTAAGACAGGAGGGAAAAGAGACGTAAGAACTCGGTTCTACAGCACGGGCTACTGATCCCATCCTACGTGGTCAAACAGGATAAAGCACTGACTACCATTCGGTTCATACCCCCGGTTCCAGTGGATCTTCCAAATAACTTTACTCAAGACCAACAAGCCGACCTCACAGAAGAGACAACAGGCCCCCGGTGGGAAGACTCTCACAGGCCACAAATGCCAAGTTCAAGAACGCAGCCTGCTACTCCACACGCTCTCTCACAAGCTGTCCCACGTCCGTGTTCAAAAAGACACACAGATGCCAAAGAGCAGAAAATGAGCCAATGGCAACTGGGAAGGCTGTGACTCAAGGTCCAAACCACATGGCCAGTTATCCAACCAGTACGTCGGAAGTTCCCATCTCAATCTGCGTCCTTATGACCAAGACTCCTCTTGTGGGTCCCTGATCACAAGGCTCCGCAGTGGCAGCTGGGCACCAGGCAGTTCTGGAATCGTGACAAAGGCCACAAGCTGACCCGCAGACTCCTGGCCTCCTCCTTTCTGTTGCTCCAGGTGGCTAATAGGCCGGTCTTATATCTTGGGGGACAGGGAACTGCCCATTGAACTAGCAGGTTGAACAAACTCATGAAACTGACAAAGCAGCCCATGAGACCACAGCCCCAGACCGAAAAGGGTCCTCCTGAGGTGTTTATGTAGCTAAGCCACTATGGTCTTTCTCACGTCACCCCCTTTATAAAGTTCTCCCCAATGCTTAGTGAGGTCAGCTGCCGTAGTCAGGGTGTGTAACTAGAACAGTCGGCCGATGACAACCTTCCCATCTCCTGACACACCCAGTGCTGCTTGTGGCAGGGCTGGGCTCCCCCCTCACCTGCCATTTGCTCTGTTCACCACTAGGGACAGCAGTCCCTGTCCTTTCCTGTGAGACCCCCATCACGTTTGTCCTGTGACAGAAACCCTCAGTGTCATTCTCTGGCTCAGCCACACTGCAGCAAGTGTTGGGACTTCACCTCATGACACAGGTGGCCAAGGGGCACCTGCATCATCTCTGATACTGAGGAGCATCGGTGTGGGGCTGCTGGACCATGAGGAAGCACCACACGGCCCTCCAGGACGGCTGGACTCTCTTTACATTCCGTCCTGTCTGGGCACGCTCCTCGCCAACACTGGCGGCTGGTCTGCTGACTGCCATCAGGTGCTGGCTGCAGCTGACTCACTGCCCCGACCACTAAGGAGGAAGTGCCCGCCATGTTTGCTGGCTGCTTGCGGTACCCTGCTCTGGAGAAGTGTCTGCTTCAGGACTTTGCCCACCTGTGACTAGGGCATCTGTACCTGCACTGTTGTGCTGGAGATGAGCAGGTGTGGATCCTTCAGCCGATGGGTTCTTTTCTCTGTTAATCAGGACTTCTGATGATAATGTGCATTTACTCTCTGATGCCCCAGCTACACCCTGTCTTGCGGGCACTTGTGTTTGTTGCGGTCCTGCCCAGCCCACCGCCACATAAACTCCACCCACAGCTTTGTCCTTAGATTTTCTTCCAAGATGGTTGTTTTTATAATAGGTCCTTGGTCCATTCTGAGTCCACTTGAGTGCAGTGGGAGAAACGGGTCCTGCTGCACTTTCCTGCGTGGCCAGCATGACCTCCACAAAGCACAGCTGTTTCCCCACCAAATGGACCCCACACACTTAACAAAGCCCAGCTGTCGACAGATGCAGGGGTTTCCTTCTGCCTTATCAATCCATTCCATTGGCCTATGTGTCTACTGGGAGCCCTGGGAGCATAGTGGGTGACATCTGAGGGTCACCTGTTAGAATCCACCAGCCGCCCCGAGGGGACAAAAATGAGACTTTCTGTTACAATAAAGACTTAGAGCCTTGAAAACCCTGCAACGGGTTGCTATGAGTAGGAACCAGCTTCATGGCACACAGCATTAACAAGTGTGCCGATTATTAAACCAGCATCAGGCAGTTTTGGAGTGGTAGCGTGGCGCTGTAGGATAGGCCCTGGTGCTAACTGCAAGGCAGCCACCAAGCGTTCCTGGGAAACCCCATCCAGGGCCGCAATGAGCGGGACTGACCTGAAGGCTCCTCACAGCAATACTAACAGGCAGTTTTGATTACTGTCCCTCTAAGCTTTAGGAGAAAGGTGAGGTGTTCTGCTCTCGTACAGATTTACAGCCTCGGAAACCCTGTGCAGGGTCACTATGAGTCGGAACCGACTCCATGGTACTTAACACCAACAATAACAAGCTTTAGGATGAAAAAAGGTGAGGCCTTTCTCTGCGGCTGTGGTTACTTGAGGTCTCTTTCCTGGGCTGGCTTTCTGACCAGGACTGAGTAGGGCCAGCAGCCTGCTCATCCCCTCCCCTCCTCACATGATGGGCCGTCGTCCAGTGTTTAGGTCACCTGTGGTCTCTTACAGTCACAATCTGTAAGCCCTTTCCAGCTCTAGTTAGGCTTACTCCGGGAGTTTTTGTAGGTACCACTGCACCCTAAACATGGCCGCTATGGGTTGGAACCAACAAACAGTACTTGACAAGAAAACCATTCTCAGTGGAGAAGCCGTGGGCAGCGCTGCAGGATACACACTGGACGGCAAGTCGGCTGGAGTCAGTTCCAACTTGCCAGCCACTCCTTAGGAACCCTATGTGGAGTCGCTATGAGTCAGAACCGACTCGATGGCACTTAACCACAACGGCCAATGGCACCTGCTTAGCTGCCTATTCAGGAAACCTCACTGATAGCGGCACCTTGATTTTGTAGCCGGCAATCTGGCAATTTTCTTTAAAATACACTTTAGTGGGTTTTTGGTCAAAGTTCACACAGCAAACTAGATTTCTATTTGATCATTTCAACACAAATGGTTCAGTGATATTAGTGACATTTCTAGAGATTTTTGGTGGATGTTTGGGGGTCCTCTCTACAGAGAAGCAGCCACCTGCATAGTTTGAGCTCTACCTTTGCCATCGGGGTACCACTGAGTTTCCTGTCAGCCAAGTGCTCTGGCCCCCAGCAGTGCTGAGCCCAGTCTGTCTCCAGTGAGCAGGAGGTCGGCTTTTCCAGACATGCCCTTAACCAGGTCTAAGAACAGCTCCTTGTTTTCTTACGTGGGTGAGTTTTTACCAAAAAGGAGAGGACGTGTATTCTTTACGCATATTAGAAGTTATCCAAGCCAGACTACAAAATGCAGCCTGCTTCCGATATAATCTCTTGAGGGGCCTTTGTCAAGCTGCATGGAGAAGCCTCATCCACAAAGAGTTGGAAAGAAGACCCGAAGGAGGAGACTCCCAGCACAGAGCCCGCACTGCTTCCAAAGGGCCCGAGGCCCGGGGCTTGTTCTTTGGTGCTCGTCTTGCTTCCAAGTTGCCTAAACTTAATGAAAACACGGACTTTCTGCGGGAAATGACGAACATGCCCAAATCAAATAGATGATCAACATCAACAAGAGAATCAAATGCATCAAGCACAGGGCGCACTCCTGTGTGACTTCTTAGACGCCATTGGCTACCGTCTTACCTGTTAAAATCATCAACATAGTCGTCATCTTCGCCAGTCCCTGTGAAGTTGTAAAACAGAAAGACATCTGTCAGGATTTACATACAAGTAAACACATACATGCTCTTGCTTCAGAAAACACACATTTCTGCATTCTATTGCATCATTAAAAGAGAAATCTCTAAACTTCACACTCGAGTCTGAACACGGCTGTTGTTATTGTGTGCCGTGGAGTTGGTTCCGACTCATAGCGACCCTGTACAGGGTTTCCAAGGCTGTAAATCTTTACGGGAGCAGAAAGCCTCATCTTTCTCCCACAGA